CCCCAAAACCCCAAAACCCCAAAACCCCAAAACCCCAAAACCCCAAAACCCCAAAACCCCTTCAGGAGGCAACTAAATTGATTAATGCTAACCTATTCTGAAGTAATTCAAAAGTTATTTCATAGTTATTCACCAGACTCTCCTTTGATGATTCCATAGAAGGTCGTTCCTAGTGAGATAGTTGCCATGAGCAGCCCCAATATTGGCCAAATGAAATTCTGGAATGCTGATTTGTTAAAGTTATCTGTCTGGTACAGATGCTGAAGATTGTTCTTCCTCGCAAATATTATCATGACTCATGGGATAATAAACAGGATGCATGTTCCGCCTAGTCCTCCCGTGTATGTCATGATGAGCTGAGGGTCCTGGAACACACATGCAACAATTACCACAGGGACACTCAGTCCGAAGCTCCACAAAGCCTTGGTCAGCCTGGTTTCAGACGCCTGAGGGATGTTGAGAAGCACAAACAAGTTGTTTCTCAAAGTAATTGTCAGGATCGGAATGGCAGCCACATTCAGCGTCGGATAGAAGTTTGTGATTTGTCCGATGACTGGGATGGCTTCGAAGTTCTCATTGTAAAGTCCTTGGATTTCTCATGGGAATTTGTTTCAGTCTTTGTTGTCAATGTGAGAGAAAGCCAAGGCAGCAAGCATTGCTTCAACAACAAGAATAGCTCCGCCAACTGTGAAGCTGTAAAAGATCAGAGGGTACACTGCTTTCTGAGGTCTGACAGGCTTGACGATTCCAGCAACCGAGTGGTGTACTACAAAGATGAAGACAGTGTTTGAGACCAAGTTTGGCACATGACTGATGTCAGGGACATTATCGGACATCTTGAAAGTGATTCCGTGTCTAAATATTGAAATGAGGGATCCGACGATCATCAAAAATGTAGTCAAGAATCTGAGATACATTGACACAACTTGCAATACTCTTGAGTTTTCAATATTTCCTAGTGAAAACATCAAAGAAACTACTGCAAATACAGCAATGCAAATATAGTAGAATTTGAACTGTTCATCATATTTATCCTTTTCTCCTGTGAATGTGAATGATATACCTTCCGAAAGACTTTTTGCTCCTGCTACATATTTAAAAATCATTGCTCCGTACATATAGCAAGCAATGATGAAGAACAAAACATATTTTGCGGCAACATGAAGGTGGTCATCACACATTTTTGATATCTCTACCTTCTCTCTGATGTAGTAAGGACTTTCTTTTACGTCACTGTCAGCTTCATCTCTTTTCCTTTTAATACTAGGATCTTCACCAGGTAGTGACGGATAAATAGTTCTTTCATCTTCATCAGGGTTAAATCTCATAGCGCAAGATATTGATAAAGCTTCGACCATGAATGTAGCTGTCATGTATGAAAAGACAGAAATAACTCCCATCAGCACAATTCCTAAAAATGGGGAAGTATTTACAAATCCATAAGGATACGAGAATGGGCCAGAAGCAAGGACAAGATTTAGCATTGTAGCTCCTGCTGCCATTGGTGTCAAAGGAACACCATGCGATTTCGGTTCAGGTCTTGAAGTAACTGGAGAAACATCGCTACTATCATAAGTAGTATCGTTAACAACTCCTCGATAATACTCTCCACGTTTTTGACCAGGAGGAGTATAATTTATATCATCCTGGTTCTTACTCCCCATCATAGACATTTTGCTCAAATTATTAATTTTATACACTCTTTCGGGGTTTTGGGGTTTTGGGGTTTTGGGGTTTTGGGG